ACCCTAGAAAGTTTTCCATTGCGTATTTACTTAGACGTTTTGTATATTTGTAATGATATAGCCTCTCCAGGTTCATGTAAGTGATAGATTTGCGCTGAACGACCAGATGAATATGCAATAACAGTGCAAAATTAAATGCGTATTTAAGTAGGCAGATAATCCTTGGGAAGGACATGAACTAAGCTCGTCGGTGCTGTCATAATGACTAGAGATTCACAGAAGCCGAATGTACCATGTGTCGCGCCGTTGTGCATGTTCAGTTCACGAAAAAATACGTAACGGATCCTGGGCTAAAACTAGTCCCACTTTTGCTATATTCCTAAATTATTTTTCGTTTGCCTCTTAATTCAATTTTCATAGGATTAAGCTTCTAAATATTTTCATTTTTTGTTTTTAGTATCTGTAACCTTCTTCTTGTACGGTAGTGTGGTTGTTCTGGCTGTTTTTGGCTTGTAGGCTGTAAGTGTTTAGGTTAATCGGCTAGTATAATTACAGTGTTCCTTTGTTATATTTATTGAACTTTAATATCAATGTTAACCTATTTTATGTACGCTTGCGTAAATTCGGTAATTACGGTGTTAGGTCGCATCTGGATTGATATTCTACTCCTATTTACTGCCGGACGGCCGTACGTACGTAGGTATACCTACGACCGTGTCCATGGTATTTAAATAGTTAACTTTGTTCTCCTCGAAGTCTTCTTCCAGATATTAAACTTCCCGGATGACTTCGCACAGGCCGTCTGATAACAGTTTATTGGTACCACGTGGTCCTCTATAATACATGTTCTTGTCGATTCCTTTGCGAGTGGGCGACGAGCGCTCGTCGTGGGCCTTGATTGTGCAATCAGACACGTACGCTTCGAATGCGCTCGCCTACAAAATATGATTATCTCGTCACGGTAGTCCAAGTATCACCCTTATCCTCTCGCGTCAGAGTGCTCCTTACGGAACGCCGCTATCGGCAAATCTGCACAGTCCTCAGGATGCCTTCTTTCTTGCCAGTTATTGTCTGCTGGCTGGTCTGCTGGTTATCTGTCTAGTTCTTTTCGCCCAGCTCTTCTTGCCGCCTAACCTCGTAATAGATGATATGCTGAAGTGGATCGGACAAAGCAAATGGAGACCGGAATGGCCATTTCTGGCTTTAACATTTTCTACGTGTATCACGAAAGCAGTAACCGGTGCGTCATGTAAAATAGCAGACTACTTGAAATAGTCGGACTTAACCTC